TGTCACCAGTCCCCAGCTTCTGAAAAACGGAGACAGGGGACACCATTCCTGCCCATCCTGCTAATAGCCATTGATGGATCTATCCTCCATGGACTTATCTAGTTCTTTTTTGAACCCTGTTATAGTCTTGGCCTTCACAACATCCTCTGGCAAGGAGTTCCACAGGTTGACTGTGCGCAGTGTGAAGAAATACTTCCTTTTGTTTGTTTTAAACCTGCCACTTATTCATTTCATTTGGTGAAATTCTAGTTCTTGTGTTATGAGAAGGAGTAAATAACACTTCCTTATCTACTTTCTCTACATCAGTCATGATTTTATACACCTCAATCCTATCCCCCCTTAGCTGTGGGTCAGCATCCCCACCAGCTGATGCTGAGTTGACTAAAGCCACAACAAAGTTTTCTTGCCTCAGTTAAACTCCTGACGTGGTGACCCAAACAGACAAGAGTTCAATTGTGGGCAACAAAAGCAGAAAACGGCCCTGTAGCCTTTGCACTCCAGTTCCCACCCAGGGCAGATCAGCTCTGGACTATATGGCATGGCCTTAATTCACTCTGCACAGGAGTTGGCTTATCTAGAGATGCGATGACAAGTGAGGTGACGTCACAGTCCCCAGTGGCTGGGAGTGTGGCTGAGAGACTCAAAATACGAAGAATCTGACCTGTGATGTCAGCCAGCTCCAGGGCTGTGGGCTGGGGGGCAGAGTTAAGGTTTCATAGTAGGGATAGCGTGAACTTGAACTCTTCATTTTCTGGGTTTCAGAGATTTAAATGTAGCCACCTTGCATCTGGGAGGGCGCGTGCAGAACTGGGCAACTTGAACTCTGCATTAAAGTTGTTTATGATCATTTAATTTCTGTGTTTTAAACAAATGAACTTCCTCCTACCGCCACTATAACTGGGTCTGCACTAGAGATTTTGCTGCCATATCTGTGTTCGTTGGGGATGTGATTTTTTCCGCAGCCCTAACGAACCGAGCTATGATCACAAAACTTTTAAGT